TAAAATATTATATCACCTCATTTTTTTTCTCTTTTTTTTTTTTTATTCATTTTCAGCCTGTTTTGAATTTGTATAAAAATGGCGAAACGAATTATGATTTTCTTGCATGGGAATTGCTCTCTAGAAAATGCAATATTAGACAACTGTCTTAAATTTTTAACATATGTATTGCTGTATTACTCGCGTTATTTGCATACATACGGTAAATTTGAGAGGAAACGTGTTAAACAATATTTTTACCTGAAAATTTCGTCCGTTAAATCGGGGTTAAACAAATTCAATTACGTATAGAGAAGTAGTCCTTGAGAATTATCGCTTGTAGATAAAATGGAAAAAAGGAAAAGAAAGAAAGAAAGAAAGACGCACTGAAAGGACATTCGTTTATCAGTAGCAAGGCGTGACTGGAAATTGCTTTTAAGAGGAACACTGGCTCGACGAAGTACCACCAAGAGTGTTTCTTTCTGACCGAAGAGCGTCTGGTAGTTTTTTTCATTTTATCAAACCATCTTTTATCGTATCAATGGAAAATTTAAAAATTTGACGTCCACTCCTATGGAATCTATTAATTTAAACAATGTCACCTAAACTGATTTATAATTTACAGATCATTTATATTCTGCTTAACAGATTTCATCTGTAAATCTGAACAATTTAAGAATGCAGAAATATATAAAATATATCCGAGGCATAATGATATTTAGCAGGTTAATCGAATTATTTCTTTAGTCATTCTTAGTTCATGAAAATTTTGTCCAATCTGTTTGTCATATTTGAAAAAAATTGTCCACTTGAATACAATTAGATGTGTTTGTGATTAATGTTATACTGAATTAAATGTACAGTCAATGTTACATAGTACTTGACTAAGACGTTTCCAGAAGAAAAATAAAATAATCCTCACTAAAAAGTATCTGAATCTCGTTCGCAGAAAAGGTTTAATCCTCGAACAGCATAATCGGTTGAAAAACCGTCGCCGATATAAACGCCGTCACATTGTCATGCTGGTAATGTTTATTGATAAGATAGACAACATGCGGGTTACCAGCATGACAAACCTTTAAATTCTTTTGTTCTTGGCGAGGCAAGTCGAAGGAAAAGAACAGCGAGAAGCCTGCATAAACCTTGCTACCATTTTGTTTCACCAACGCAGTTTCGTTCCTTACGGGGAAAAAAATAGAAACGTGTTTCCTCGCGTGAGAACATCATGCATTCGATATGCACGAAAGTACTCGGAGATTATAAATGAACCTGATTATTGTATTGAATGACTTGATTGAATGTACACATATATTTCTTTTATCATCACGATGAATAAAAATTAAAGATGAAATTTCTTACAAATTCGCATATTTCAATGTGTGTACAGTCTTGCTAAAAAGTTTTGGAGCATGCGAAAATATCGGGAAAAATAACAAGTTCTTCAAAATATCATTGAAGTTGGGTTTGAATTATATTTAAAAATGAAAGTTGTAATATTAATTATTTATAAGAGACATATAAGAAGAAGTGTCCCAGAAGTACGCGTCAGAGATTTTTTGACTGGACACGATTCTCACCCAATGCGAGTGCAACAGTCAAAAGACACTTATAAATAAGGAAGATAAAAGCTTCTCATTTCACTCGATCTACGTAAACGAGTTTCACTTTTACAGATAGACTACGGGTATTCCTGTATTTATAGAAAATTTAATCCGTTTCAGTTACGATAACTTGTACCTCATCATTTACAAACATAAATTATCGTCGATCAGCGGGACTTAATCCGTGTTTCTTGTTATCACGACGAGCGAAGACTACCCAAACTGCCACTCGTTACGCTTTCCAGAAATAACAATTTCGTTTGCAAATAGAGGTCGTGCGCGTTCTGTATCACGTGTCGCGAAGAAAGATCTTTCTCGATTAACAGCGCGATTTCAAATACGCTACCGATGTCGGCGTACACGTTTTACACCGTAAGAAATTTCGGTTGACGTATGAGGACAAGGTGGTCATTAGTTAAAGAAGAAATTTCATCGAACGACTTCCGGCTTTTCGTACGGTCGCCGGAGAAAAATAAACGCGATTAAAGCAGGGTTAAAGTTTCGCCGTGCTCGTTACACAGCAGCGCAGGAGAGGAGAGGAGAGGAGAGGAGAGAAGAGAAGAGAAGAGAAAAGAACAAGAGTGAAAGAACGAAACGAGAGAGAAGAAAGGAAAGAGTCAGAAGAGAGTAGAGCGGAGGAGCCGAAAGAAGGCCGATAGGCTCGCGAGCAATGGGACGATATCAACGTGACCGGCAGCCAAGGAAGGAATTTATTAAATTAATTTGCCGCGGCGACGCATCTCGTAAATTTCGTAGATGACCTCACTTTATAATTGTCGAGAATTACTTGCTCTGTTGTTCGCCAGGGCTCGTTTCGGGCCAGCCATTCGCGTGAGACTTCTTGCTCCCTAGGAGACGCGTTTTATTGCTACAGTTTCGTCGAGAGCTACGCCTCTGATATTTGGAAATTTCTTTCTTTGCATTGACGACCGTAAAAAAACAGGGGAGAGAGAGAGAGAGAGAGAGAGAGAAAAATCGAAACTGGTGAACTGCTTATCACCAGAACAGAAGCAGAACATCATTTTAATTCGAATGATTGACGCGGGTAGTTCGTTTTAAGGTCAGGGTAATTGAATGGAGTAAAGTACGAAAAAAGAGATTCTATAAGAACCGCAAGAACGCAATGACGTTAACGGTTTCTTTTTAAAGGCGAAAGCTAAAGTTTCGGCCGGCATGGAAATAATATTGCGTATAACGTGAAAGTTAATGTCGAATATTCTGTCGAAGTCGCTGCCAATTATCAAAGCAAAAAACCTCGACATTTTGTGTCTTATGTACAAGTTGATACAAGTTCGTTTAATAATGATACATTTTGGAAATGACTCGAACGTTCGTTGTCTTAAAAAGGAAGAAACGAAAACGAACGCTTATTCAAAAATATATGTACTATTTGACATATGGTAGTCGTTCCACTAAAGCTTCTTAATCGCGCTGCTATTACCCATATGGCACTGAAACTCGAGTCTTTCAGTGTTTAAGTTGAATGCAACTGAGCATTTAGACATATCTCGTTTTCTCATAATAGATAATCAACTATCGAAATGTGATGCCGAGTAATCTTCTAAGAATTGCATTTTTTTTTTTTTTTCAAGCTTCAAATAATTCTTAAATGAATTAAAAGTGACAGTAAAACGTTATTTCAATTCTTTATACAGATATAATACCATCCTAACGATACAATATGCGTGGAATTATTTTGTACATGTTACATGTTTCAAGTAACATAAATTTGTACTGTACAAAATATACATTTGATATGTAAAATATAAATTTTGTCACCGAAGAAGAAATGCAAGAAGCAAAAGCTTGTTCCAATTTTTTTTTTAAAACTTGAATTTTAGTATCGAAATTGTCTCTATATTCCTTGCTTAATCACTATTCTCTTGCCATCCATATGTTGAAAATACGGAGAGCTTCTGTCGCCTTATGGCCTCCTTGAATGCCGGTATATACCTACACATGCACCAAATATTACGTCGAACTTGGTGCATCGCACATGGGTTACGAATGTTTCTAAGGAAACCGTGATTTCTATTTATAACTGGACTGCATAGGAAGCCGATTTTTCTTCTTTATAATTCGAGTTCGTCAGTGTCGAAAAAGTGAAAATCTTGGGAATAATGTGGAATCTATTTTCATGGGTTCAAAATTAAAAAAAAAAAAAAAATTTACCTTACTAGGAAATAAAAACTAGCGCGGAATAATTCTGTAACGTATTTTTGTTATAATAAAGTGACACCGAAGACACCAAAGTTATTTAATGCCATTAATACCTAAAAGGCATCTAATAAAAAATAATATTTCTCTTAACGAAATACTTTATATTATAATTTTACTAAAAAAAAAAAAAAATGCATAGGACAAAAATAGCGTATTTGGAGAAATTTAGAAAGAAAGAAAAAGAAAAATAGAATATGGTTTAGCTAGAGGGAAGCGAGCATATGCGTGATAAACGGGAGGAGAAACGGATCAATGTCGAGCAATTGGAAACCACGAAGATTGGGAAAGGTCTGGTTGAGATATATTTCGAGGAGGATACCTAACATATGGCGAAATGGTAAACTACTTCCGTTTGTGAGAGCGCACTTTGTACGCCGCAGTGGCAGCTAACTTTTCGAAACGTAGCGGGCTAACAGAGTGAGCCAACACGAACTTGAAATTTCCGTGACACGTGTTCCCTTGGATACTTGACACATCTACGAACCTTCTTTCTCGATATCGATATAAGTACACTTCCGCGTAATCTTATCACGAGACATAAATTATTACCTAGTATCTAAATAGATGACTTGCTTCTTTCAAAAGAAACTAACAAACGATGAATGTTATGAAACAGAAGATGGATAGTTCTTCTATTCTTCATTTCTAATGTATAAATAATTCGAAATATCCTTTTAATAGTTATCTGATTAATTTAAAGATGTTTTACTTTTATCGTCCAACGGAGGAAACAAACTACTCGAAATTGATAAATTTTTGCAAGTAATTTCTCTTCGCAAAACTTTTACCTTTTAGGCGTTCGCCTTTTATCTCTTCGAAATTGCTGCGAAAACTTCGGTCACAAGTGTAGCCGAATGTCACGTTGTCGAGACACTTTGCAAAGTGGTTACAACGCGTAAAGTTTATTTTCGGGAGCGTCGACGCTCGAGCACGTGTTCAAAAGGAAACGCTGTACACGAGTTTCCACTTGGAGATGCTTCCTCGGAGTAATTGTCACGTGCGCGGCGCCGATCAACAGTCCTGTTGCTTCAAGCCACTTAAAGTACTTCAATGAGCACTCTTCTGCTCGGACCATGCGAGTTTCATGAACGTGAAACAATGCTACACGGTTGCCTATTGTTGCTCGTCCGGTTGGTGCGCGTGTAAGTCTAAATTTTGCTAATGACGCAGTCCCGTATGAAATATATACTATAATTCAATTTAGACATTGAACTGTCTGTAAAACATTCTTTCAAATAAAATTCAACGAAAAAATATATTTCAAACTATTTGGAATATTTTCAATTTAAATGTCCATTGTAATCGATATCAGTTGTTGATTGAAATGACACTGGTATAAATTCACTTGCACATTGATTATTGATTACAGTACAAAATTGAATATCGAAATGTCAAACACTTCACAATCTGTGATCGTTCCAACGCAAACTCATGTACAAAGTACCTATGTTTCGATCTTCTTCAATTTCGTAAATAATCATATAATTATTTGTGTGAATTTCACAAAGTTTTTGAAAAGAGAGAGACAGAGACAAAGACAGAGAGAAAGAGCAATAAAAGGATTTTATAGAAAAAAAAAAAAGAGAGAAAAACGTGAAACACGAACCTTTCTACTACACGTGTGTGAGACGTTGGGCGTGTTGCTGATGTACTAGTCTGCCCTGTTCCTGTTCCCACCAGCTGACAACGTCCATGAATTCGCCGGATTCGGTGATCTCCTGCTTATAATACAGAGCTCCGGAAAAGGTTTCCGGACTCGCCGCGTAAACGGTGGCTGCACCCTCTTCGCTATCCCCGGCGCCACTATATGGCGATAGAATTTGGGGCTCGAGGTTCTCTTCGTTTTGTCCATAATATTCCGAGGGTGGAGACGCTACCGAATTAGGGGAGAGCCGGGAGAAATTCTGCGTGTTCGATAGAGTTCTCGGTTCGAGATTCTCTTCATCCCCAATCGAGGATGCATAGTAATCGCGGGGCGATGGGACTGTCGTCCGATTTGGCGATAGTCTAGAAAATCATTAACGTAATCATCGTTACTATTTCAATGCGACACTTATAATTAACATACAATGAATTCCGAATGTATTCATGGAATATTTCACGGTTTAATTCTCAGTTAATGTAGTTGTTAATTAACAAAAACTTAGCTTAAGTGGACTACTCGGATCGTTGTGTGAAAATTTATATAATTTATCATTTCGGAAACAAACAGACAGAGAATGATGAGAAATTCCTCGAAAAAAATTTAATACAGTATTTTCAATCCTTCTAAATGGAGTTTCGATCAAAAAGTTTAAATAATAATTCGTTCATGTACGTTATTTTGTTGTCGATTTTGCCGGCTTGTTTGGAAAAAGGAACCCCACATCTTTCAAATTTACTCGGACACGAAAGACCCCAGAGTAAAGTAGAAACGAGTTCACTTAAGGGGTTGAACGTGTATATTCTCACGTGACGTTTGAAACGATTATATATTGACCAACAGAAAATAACGAAGGAAAAGAATTACTTGGATGTAATCTTCTGTTTCCCAATTTCTTCCTCTTCGTCTAGCTGTTGTTCACCATCGTCCTCTTCGCCGGCGAGTACATCGTCCTCTAACACGAGTCTCTCGCCAGAACCGTTGTGACTCGAGGAAACGACACTGCTGGTGGGCGAAGGCACACACTGGCTACCGGCAACGTTCGAATCGTACTCAACGCCATCAGCTTCGGCGAGCAACCTTTGAAGTCCCCTGATGTACTCCACGGCCATTCGCAGAGTTTCGACTTTCGACAATTTCTTGCCTCTGTCGCCGTAACCGGCCGCGATGTGACTCGGAATGTGCTGTCTCAAAGTCGCGAATCCGTTGTTCACTTGTTTAACGCGATTCCTCTCACGTGCATTCCTTCGTGCAACAGCAACCGGCGGCGGTTGCCCGTTTTTCCCGTGTTTCTTCAATCTGGAGGGGTCGTATGGTGGCAACACGGCGGCAGAACCGGTTGCATTCGTATTATTATTATTGTTATTTTTCGGGACTATCAGGTGAGGTTGGTTGCCGATTATGTTACTTTCGTTGTCTTGCAGCGTTCTCAGCAACATCAGTTGCTCTTGATCGTTGCCGTTTATTTGAACCCTGTTGCAGAACACCGTAACTCCCATAGTCGTCATCGTGATCGCTTCCCCGCTTTAGACACTCAGAAAGCCAGAAAGCGTCATTCACCGAATTGAATGAACGCGCGAACGACGTAGCGTGATCGTTGGCGTAAAGTCTGTTCTCATCAGTCTTTCTAAAGTGCGTGGAACGAGTTGAAGACTCGTTCGGCGAAATTTATTAAATATACGAGAAGTGTTCCTTCTTTTCTTTTTTTTTTGTCTTGAAAAAATAATAAATCGAAATCGTGGTAAATAATAAGTCGGACGAGTCGTTCGTCGTGTGAATAGCCAAGTCGACGAATAGCTTATCGACTCTAATGCCTTTCGAGGACGAATCTAATTGATAGACTTATAAATAAACCAGCCTCTTCCCTCGAAGATCATCGATGCAGACGGTTAGACGACTGTTCGATTTGATGTTTATATATCTGGGTCAGAATATCTTTCTAGAAATTCCTGAAATGTTGTTCGGGTTCCTTTTGACACTATCTTGTTCTTAGGACTAAAAAAGAAATATCACTCCAGCCAGTTAAAAAGTTACAAGTCAAACTCCCACGTTTCTCCCACGAAGAACTTCCAATTTGCACTTTTTTTTTTTTGTTTTTTTTTTTACAAGACTAACAGCAGCGTCTGTTTCTCAGTCGTTTCTCTTGCCTCGTTGTGTAAACGAGTAACAGTAGCAAACATTATGTTTCTTTTGTACAGAAGAAGGGTTGTCGAAATTATTTACGATTCTTACAACTTAACAGGTACGACAGCGTATACTTTCTGGTCGGAAAAATTGACAAATATAAACAGATACTTAATAAGAAGCTCTTGTCGTTAAGATCACCGACGGACGAGCTACGGAAGCCGAAGTTTCCGATGGTCCACGGGGCCTTTCTTTTTCTACCAAATGACAGAGCTGATGACCTGAACCAAGATCCAATTGTCTCGTCGTCGGTCACAACGGCTTAAGTAAAGCATGAGGTCACCGTCTATTCTTCTCCGCGACGGTCGTCGACTCCACAGAAATTATTCTTCGGAATCTGAATTGTCGTTGCTCCGCGAAAACATCGAACTAAAAAGAAATATAACAATCGACGTACACCACCCACTTCCATTGGCCGTGGTGCCTCTCTCTTTATTTCTTAATGGAATACTTAACATTTGAAATTGTAGAACGTCGTCCGTGCGTCGCGTGACATATCAATTAGAATCGAGATCTTCGAATCGTGTTATCACAATGTGACTGTGAGGGAATCGTGTGTAGCACCAGTTAAATGCTCCTATTTACAAAGGAAAGCACTTTAACGACTTCAAATGGAGAATTGAAACGCTCTTAATGATTTGCAAACGTACGAACAACCATCGTTCGTGTTTTAACACTTATTTACGAATCGATTTATCTACTTAAGGCACTTGTAACCAATTTTCGTTGCTCTTTGTCCGCTTTGACTAAGGTCACTTATTACTGAAAATTCCACGGACACGTTCCAAGGAGTTCAAGTGGCCAGCAATCTTGAGAAGGCCAGTATCTCGACATACGTCTTAATATTTTCGCAGCACCATGTGAAGTCCCTTCTTTCGCGTGATTCCCTCTCGGCAAGTTTATCGAGACGATTGTTACGATCGCGGTTACGTTTCTTCGAGGATAGTCGAAATTCACGTACGTTACACAAGTACAACTCCATTCAGACGGTGAAACTGCTAACAGCCGGCGTTCGCTACCGATCAGAGTAGCATCGTTTCGCGGGAAACCGCGTCGCGATCAGCATGGCGTTTGAGTATAAAGACCGGACGAGCATGAAGAGCCAAGAGGTTGGCTCCCATTTGATATTTTATATATACTGCGTTTCACGCTGGAGTGACACGTATCGTGCGGTAACACGCGCGCGAGAGAAAAAGGGGTAGAGAAAGGACCAGGTGGTGGTGGTGGTGGGAGTTTTAAGCACGCGTCGTAGTCAACGCCGGGCCTAATCAAACAAAGAAGCCAGAACTCGAACTCGAGCAATTACTCGTACTCGTACGTTACCGATTCGTCCTCGTTCGTTCGCACTTGCAAAATCCACGAGTCAGTTCAGCTTTGCAACTTGCAACTAAAAATATGTACAGTGATGCTCGCGGGTTTCTCTCTTTCTCAAACACTCTCACTCGCGACGAAGTATCTGAAACCGGTCAGAGAAGGGACAGTGGGGGAGTGGTTTCACTTGTGGAAGAACTGTCCTCTCTGTGGTGCGAAATTCCTCCGGGGTTATCGGGGTTTCCTCGACACGGTAGCCGATGATCTCTCCGTGGTATCCGTCATCGGTCACTTTTTCACACAGCTCTTGCTCCCGGCGGATGGTAGTGCTCGTTTCTGATCAGACCTCCGTGCTACGCACCGCATGGCGTCCGCGTTGAGAATGAACACGGACATCCGATAGATGGGTTAGGTTTCAGCATTTTGCCGCACCACTATGGAGTGAGACGGGAGGGCTGGTTTCTGGAGGGTCGAGGGGAGGGGAATTAGGGTGCACGAGGGACAGAAAGGAAGCACGAGAGCGCGAGCGAGAGGTCACAGCGCGCGAGGGAAACGCGTGTTGCGCAAAGAGGAAGAGGCTGGTGGGGATTTTGAGCACGCGCCGCAGCCCCCTCGTTTCTTCTCCCCCGGAACTGAAAAGGGGGACCGTGCGCGCCATATGCCGGGGGGGAAGCGCGTGTGCCAGTTGCGTACACTCCGTATACGCACGTATAGGCCTCTCTCTATGCGACTGCGCGTACGCGCGCGTCGCGATCCGGCGAATCTATTGGCGAGAAATGAGAACGAGAGAGCGCGCCGTGTATTCAAGCATTTCAAGCTCGTTGATCCTTGACTATGGGCCCTGTTATTTCGAGAGCTGCGCGACAGTGAATCCAAAGGCATCTATTGCGAGAGAAATGTTTCAGAAATTTGCGAGGGTGGCTGGATGAAAGAGCGTGGCGAACGTAATAGAGTCCGGGTTGCCTGTCGCCCGAGAATTCTTTCGCGTGAAAGAATTTATCCTGCAACAGCGATGGCATTGCTTGGCGTGATTTGTTCGTACGATTTATTTCAACGAAAATTGTTACGAATAGATCCTCCCGAACTTTATTCCCACTTTGTTTTTAAATCTCTTTCTGCGTACTAATTTAGCCACTGATATGGTGACTATCGTTTTTCGGGGTGTTTTAAACAAGTAGATACGCGTAATCGTAAATGAATATTTATGATACATTTTCGAAGATAGAGTCAGACCTTGTGTGTGTTTAAAGCAGCCTTTGCAATACAGATAGTGCGAACAACCGCGCGATTTCAACGAAACGTATCTACCTACGTGTGATTCCTACTAATATTTTCCCGTTGCGAATATTTCGTAAAGTTTACAAAATTTAAATTTTAAAGATATTACAAAATATCTGCAGATGGCCAATTTCGAAGATGGCGAAAATCAAAGAACTTGGGCTACAATCGCATTGAGGAATATCGTAATCTGGTTTCTCTGTCGATCGTGGATTATGTAAATCATTCGGAAGGAAATATCTAAGCCGTGGAAACGTATTTGGCGATCCACATTTCCGAGTAGCAAAGCCGACTACACCTAGCCGAGTTTACATATCAAGCTTCCCTAGTGAAAAAAAAGATTTCAGACGAAAGAAAGGATTATTTTGTTGATCCGATTTCCTCCATCCCTTTGTGCGGCGACGTCCGTTGCATACAACGAAATGAAAACAATTTTTCAAAGCATCTGCCGATTGTCAACAGTTTTACAATCAGGACGGGCCAAGAGATATCTTCTTGGCTTTATTTACAGATTGCAAGCTCTCCTATTTTTATTAAAAACCGACATAGACAGGTTTCAATGAATCTTGCGACAGGCGTACGAAAGCTTCGCAGTGAAAAATTCAAGGCCCGATGAATTTATTAACTTATTCTTCTGCGCTGTGTGTTTCGCAGTGTGGAACAGGAAGGGCGACGATTCGGTTTGCCGCGGAAGTTTCGTGTTTCGGGGCGGTGCACTCGCGAAGGCCGGTAGTGTTCCAAGCTTAAAATAGAATTTCCATAACGAAGTTTAAAAGTTTTCAGCCGAGGAAGTTTTAATTTTTAAATTCCAAAAGTTAGCACCAAGTATAATAATTATCAAAGTATTTGTTAATAACAGATCACACGCAAATGTTACGAAATTTGAAAATCTACACTTTTACAGCAAAAATTTTGTATAATATTACATAGACATCGTAGATTACAGTTTTTCAATAGTGTTAAGGTTCGACAGATGCGTTATGATAGTTTTTTTTTTTTAAATATACTCTAGAGAAATGTTTCAAATATCAAATTTAATGTAAAAGTAAAATGCGAAAATGGAAAATTTTGGAATGGAACACACGAGAGAAAAATTAAGAGGAGAAAATTCCTCTTCGGCCTCGACCATGATTAAAATAATTATACACAAGTGACTGTTGCACAAAATTACAGTGTAACGGCATTTCCTGCTCGTAAATTGTAATTTGGACAAAAAACGAAACTCCATCAAATAAATTTTCTCACAATTCATCCATGGGTTGGTGATTGTATCGCAGGGACGAAAAGGCTCAGAGGGATTTGGCCTAGATCCAGTTTATATTCTGTATACCTAGGCCTGAGAGCGGAGCCCAACCTTGTATAATGGGGGGGCACGATTCAATTTATAGTGTGAAATATACGGACGACGTGCAATCCCTTACGGTTCGCTCATTATAATAATAATTTGCGACTGGATTCAGTGTTAAAATTTATGTGTATTCAGTTCGTGCGTATTTGAAAATAAATCCATTGTCGCAAATGTGCGGATGAAATTGAAATAACAGTTACCTATATAACACAGGCTTAGTCGCTTTAGTTACAAATCACGATTCTTAGAACATCTTTTCGTAATTGAAATTGAAATTTAATACAACATTTAAATTTATTAGCGTCAAATATATAAATTATAAGACTCGATATTCACAATAATCGACACAACTTGTATTGAATTTTACTAAAATCAAATGTTCAATTT